TATCACCACCATCATCACCACCATCACCACCACCACCATCATTGTCATCAACATCATCACCATCACCACCATCATTATCATCACCATCAGCAGCAGCAGCAGCACCATCGATACTATCATCAATACCATCGACGCCATCATCACCATCATCAATAACATCATTACCACCATCACCACCATCATCACCATCACCATCATCTACACCACCACCACCATCATCACCATCACCATCATCTACACCATCATCACCATCATCACCATCATCACCATCCATCACCACCATCACCATCATCTACACCATCACCACCATCATCACCACCATCATCACCATCATCACCACCATCATCACCATCACCATCATCTACCACCACCACCACCATCATCACCATCACCATCACCATCACCACCACCATCACCATCATCACCATCATCACCACCATCATCACCATCACCATCATCTACACCATCATCACCATCATCAATAACATCATCACCATCACCACCACCACCACCACCATCATCATCATCAACACCACCATCATCACCATCACCATCACCATCATCACCACCACCATCACCACCACCACCACCACCACCATCACCATCAACACCATCATCACCACCACAGCACAGCAGAGCACGTCATCACTAGCAGGGGTGGCAGGTCCACCACCCCTCACCCTCTACCAACTGCTTTACTTGCTCATTTCACGTAACCCTCCCAGGTCCCACGACCATTACTACCTGCATTTTACAATGGAGGGAACAGAAGCTCAGGGATATCGTAACACCTCCAAAGTCACAAACAAGCAAGACTGTGGGCCACTCGTGTGGCCAGCGTTTTCCCAAGGACCACCCACACGTCATCGGAAAGTAAAACCACTGAATCTGTGGCTCTCCGCTCCCCTCCCTCTTAGGAGCATCTCAGAGAGTCCGAATTCCTGATGTATCACGGGTAGAGCACAGCCCTGGCTGGCATATCTCAGTGGACTGAGCATGGGCTGTGAACCAAAGTGTCGCAGGTTCGATTCCCAGCCAGGGCACATGCCTGGGTTGCAGGCCATGACCCCCAGCAACCGCACATGGATGTTTCTCTCTCTCTCTTTCTCCCTCCCTTCCCTCTCTAAAAATAAATAAATAAAATCTTTAAAAAAAGAACTCTATCATGTCATCTCAATTCTGCTTTAAAAAAAAAGGTAGAGCAGAGGAAAAAATTGCACATAAAGGTATCTCCACATATGTGTGTATATATGGGTATACACACACATACATACAAGTATATATGCAAATTTTAGGTATGCACATCAAAACACATGACTGTGCTCATGGCTGTCACTTCCCACAGCACAAGGGCACCAAGAACAACCAGGAGGGAAAGGGTGTGTGGGGAGACGTCCAGGTGGAACCCGGGGCAGCCTCTGAGAGTCAGTGCCCGGAAGCCCCTGAGGTGTGCCGGGTTCTTCCAGCCATGAGCTGGGCTAACCCTCGGGAGATGCTGTCAACCAGGAGGCTCAGTAGACACACAACAGGTAGAGCTGCTACCGGGGGCTGCTCACAGACACACCCTCCACCTGCCAAATGCCAAACTCCCAGCGGAAAAGCAGACGTTCAGCAAACACAGCGTAAGGAGTGTTGGGATCCTCCCAGAAATCTAACTTTCTGGACGGCAGCCGCGGGCCCACCTTTGAAGTGGACCGTGGAAGCACGGCAGCCTTAGGTTGCTGTGGGTGCTCTCACGCTCAGGTACCTGTGGCTGTTCCGGGCCCAGAACTGGAAGTAACGGTTGGCTCCTGCCCTCCTGGGTTGCTATTTGTACTCCAGTTTTTAAGGGCGTCTGGACAACGCGTGCAGAAAGAAAGACGTGATGCTATTTTAAATAAATCAGAATCGCCAGCTGGACCCACTCAAAGGCGGCATCAAAACGCTAAGGAGGCGTGAAATTGGAAAAGGCATTCTCAGTGCAAACGCTCCCGACTTATGCTTGGAAATGCAATTATAATCTGCTTGGAAACTCGGTGACACATGCTAATTTATTAGATGTGATTACAGTTTGCTTGGTTCCCAGGCAAATTGTAGACCTTTTTTTTAGAGAGTAGGGGGAATGGAGCGAGAGAAGAGGGAAACATCACAATCAGAAATATTCACTGTGGCCTCTTGTATGCACCCTGAGCGGGAACTGAACCGGCAACCCAGGAATGTGCCGTGAGTGGGAATCGAACCGGCGACCTTCCACTTTGCAGGACGATGCCCGACCCACTGAGCCACACTGGCCGGGCCCAACACTCCCTTCTGAGACCCCTTTCCATGTCTTCACGTTCCACCATTATCAGAACTGCATATTTTTCTGTCTGCAGAGTATCCTGGCACGAAGCCCAAGGACTCTGCAGAATTAGTAGGCAACGGATAGTGAGGGCCTGGTGGGGAACCCCAACACCAAAGGGGGACACCCAGAGGCTGCTGCGTCAAGGGTGGTGGTCGTTGGCCCTGTAGCGCCCCCATGTCCGCATTGGACATGCAGAGGCGCACCCACGCCGACTGAGTCTGAAGCTGCGTTGCAGCCAGACCCCAGCCATCCGTGCACAGGGCGCACCGGACAGAGCTATGTGGATCCTGCGCTGCCTCTGCAGAAGCTGGAGTCGCCCCTGCCTGGGCACTGAAACGGACTCATTCCCAGAAACCTGGGCGTTTTACGCCATGCAACGCCCACGTCACACTATGGACGAAGTTCTCTGCACCTGCGGCAGACGGGGGGCAGGGGCGGGGGGGCGCCCGGGAAAGAAGGGTGCAAGCGTCGCTTCCTCGGAACGGGAGCCCCTGACCACAGCCCGTCTCTGCCTGCGTTCCCACGCGGGCGAGCTCAGAGAGGGCACTCGGCCTTCTAGAAAGAGCCGTGCGCATTCCGTTTGCAGCTCCTGCCTCATGGAGTCCAGTGGCTCCGTAGACGCCGTCTGCCACGGGCTGCTAGTCACGTCCGTCCGCACGACAGAATTCTCCGGGGCCCTCTAAGTGGGGGGGCACAGGATTCCGGGGCGTGGCAGCCTCGGTCAGAACAGCCCCCATTGCCCTGACGTGCGCTAGGACTGAGGGGCGTCTCTGCTCCCCACTCCAGTGCGGAAATATTGGGGCACGGTAGGCCCCACGCTGCTCTCCGAGAAGACGGCTCTTCCATCATGCCGCCTCGGCAGCTCATAAATTTCCGAAACTCATCATCTGCTGTCCCCCCGCTGAGCCTCCTAGAACACTCTCCTCCTCCGCGGCCCATAAAAATTCAGCGAAAACGGAGCGTGGCTATTAAAGAGAGAGAAAAAAAGGAAAAGCCTGCATTCCATCGAGACCCTTGTCTACCTGGTCCATGAATTATGGGACAACCTTACCCAGCCCGCTGATGCTCTTGCTATATATCCAGGAGCTGCATTCTCCAAAACTTTAAAATTCGGTATAGGGACATAAAGCGGGACAGAATGAGGATCATTTCCTCCGTGAGATGATGGGTAAAGGAAATCTCCGAGCAGCTGTAAAACTTCACGAGCATTCCTGGAAGCCCTTCCGTGCCATGGCCGCCGTACAGGCTGAGCTAAGAGGGAAATTTGGATTAAAAAGGGGCTCTCCACCGACACCCAAGCATCACCACGGGCAAGCTCAGCGTCACGGCCACACGGGCCTTGCACGCACTGTTAATCCACAAGGCGAGGATGACCGACCGTACCAGGTCTGTCTCGGTGAATGACGCACCCTAAAAATGCTCCAGCAGGGATCGGAGTTGTCAGGGTCCCGCTTGTTTCAACAGGGTGGTCAGACACGTACCCCCAGATGGAAGGGCAGCCAAGCGACGAAGAACACCCGCAGAGACGCACGAGCGAGCAAAGAAGCACGCCGGACGTCGAGGCGGGGGCTCACTGAGCATCGCACGGGGGTCTCTTGGCAAAGCCGCCCACGTGAGCTGGGCTCTGCATTCCCCGTGTTTCAAGGTGTAATGCACGCTTCCCGCCAGAGCAGATCCCACTTGGCACAGGAGTCCCATCGGAACAAACCAGACGGGGTCCCGACGACTCCACGGTGATTGCAGAGAGAGAGAGAGACAGAGAGAGACAGAGACAGAGAGAGAGAGAGAGAGAGAGCGCGGCCACCTCCCTTGGGATTTCCAGGGAGGAGGTTTCCAATGGCGTCCAGGGACAGCTCCCTTCTCTGGGACCAGACACCATGGTATCAGCCCACGGTCACCGACAGGAAGCCACAATCACAGGTTCGTCAGTGAAACACCACGGCCCTCCTCGCTCCTCAGGACGCTACAGCGGCGTTTGCTAGTTCACCTGGATGCATGGTCTGTGCACCGACTAGAACACAGAGCCGGCCGGGGAGCTCCGTTGGCTAGAGCACTGTTCTGACACACCGAGGCCGTGGGTTCCATGCCCGGTCAGGGCACATAAAAGATTCAACCAACAGATGCATGCATCAGTGAGCAGAACCGTTTCTCTCCTCTCTCTGTCATCAATAGGTTTAAAAGATCTTTACAAACAGAATAGAATACAAAGTATCCTCTTCTTACCAGAGTGTGGACACTGAAGGCGCGGCCTCACTACCCTGTCTCTGCCCTCCGTCCATCGGTACTAGTTTTTTTTACCTGTGAGCCTCTGCTCTGTCGTACGTGTCCAGGGGCCCGATACCCTTCTTCTCGTTTGCTGTCTGCAGCAGACGCGCCCTGAGGGAGCCCCTCGGGGCCACGCCCTGCTGCGGTCCCCTCCCTGCCTGTGTCTGTGTGTTGGGGGCGGGGTAGGGGGACAGGTGCCGTGCTTGCAACCGAGGGGATAGGCTCTCCTGTGTCTGTTTGAACAGCCACGGAAGCCACAGAAGGCCCCAGCATTGCTTCCCTTTGCATGTGCATTGACACACACACGCGCACACACACACGAAACGCAGAGACCGCAGGAGCGCCCTAGGCCCACCGCACCCCGGTCACCAGCAGCCGCGCGCAGGGATACAGGGCGCCCGGCGCCGCTTACCTCGCAGAAGCTGTGGCACGGCTCCTTCCGCAGGTCCCAGGACTCCTTGCAGGGCTCCAGGCACTGCAGGAAGACAGCACAGGTGAGTACGACAACCGGCACGAGAGACCTGCCCAGAGGCAGGAGCCCGCGTGCCCTCGGTTCGGCGTGCCTCCTCCTCCCCGGCACGGGCGGGGCGCGGCTCAGCTCTGCGCCGCGGGGTGCGGGGCAGCCGCTTCGCTCGCCGCAGTGCAGGTGCAGAAATGTGCATTTCCACGCAGCTGCGGAGGCGCGCCGTGGGGAGGGGACCCAGAGGCCAAGGGGTGACGGCCCCCCTCGGGCACAACAGGTTGCATCAGCAATACTTCTCTGAAGCGGTCGTCACACATGACTTGGCTTTTCTGATAAACTCTGATACTAATGTGGTTTGCTCTTGGCCACACAGCGATGCTGTTTTGTATACGGGCCTGCAAGGAGCTGAGTGAAGACGCATTGTATAAAGACATACATATACACAATACATATCTCCACACACACACTGTGGTCAACTTGTGTCTTCAGCTCAGTAAATCAAACAGCATTAACATTCACCCAGTTTAATCACTCTCCTAAAATAGATTGAATACCCCTGGCTGGCGTAGCTCAGTGGATGGAGCGTGGGCTGCGAACCAAAGTGTCGCAGGTTCGATTCCCAGCCAGGGCACATGCCTGGGTTGCAGGCCACGGCCCCCAGCAACCGCACATGGATGTTTCTCTCTCTCTCTCTCTTTATCCCTCCCTTCCCTCTCTAAAAATAAATAAATAAAATCTTAAGAAAAAAAATAGAGAGAGAATAAATATGGTGTGACTTGCCTATGAAAGTTTTGGCGTATGCATTACTGTTGATAAATGCATTTTGATAAGAGAGAATACATACGATCCACTGTTCAATAACAATGATAATAACAAATAGTGTTGTTGAAACAAGAAAGTATGTATAAGCACACGTACAATGTATAGTTTATTGCCATCTGTCGTACGTTATGTAAATAGAACAAGATAAAAACAGATAGCAATAAACAGGAGACAGCAGGTAGGCCTCAGACTTGAAAGGAACGTGTTGGATTCATATGAGTGGAGATTTGATTTTCAAAATTGTCTTTTAACGCAAGTTCGAGTGGGTGAAACTAATAGCCACGTCTAGTTCAATGTCGGTCATGAAATATGGGCCCAGCCTGGCACCCGTGAGCTGGTCACTATCCAGTCCGCATGCTTCCCATTCCCCTCTTGGGGCATTTCTCCATGAGCACCCCAGGCCCGGTGAAATCCCACAGAGGTACACTGTAGAATTCAGGATCCACCCCGATATGGCTTTGTCAGCCCACGTTCGAATAACCTCCCTGTTTTAAAATAAAGATGTAGTTCGCCTGGCTGGCGTAGCTTAGTGCATTGAGCACGGGCTGCAAACCAAAGTGTCGCAGGTTCGATTCCCAGTCAGGGCACATGCCTGGGTTGCAGGCCACGGCCCCCAGCAACCGCACATGGATGTTTCTCTCTCTCTCTCTCTCTTTCTCCCTCCCTTCCCTCTCTAAAAATAAACAAACAAACAAATAAATAAATACAACATTTTAAAAATAAATAAAATAAAACAAAGATGTAGTTTAACGATAAACTGGAAAATCTAGGATCACACTAAGTCTTCAAATACCTCTTGCCATGTTTAGTTAAAATGAAGACCTGAACACAAACCACCACACCTGTCTCACGGCCCATCCATCATGGCCATGCTCCTGCAGGGGTGATGGGCGGCCAGTAACAGGGGCATCCCCCTGCAGGTCTCAAGAAATGCCCATGGTTGGCCTGCTTCTGGCCATACAGAGTCAGGACCCCTGAGCTCGGGGCCCAGAAATCTTCTTTTGTTAAAGATTTTATTTATCTACTTATTTTTAGAGAGAGGGGAAGGGAGGGAGAAAGAGAAGGAGAGAAACATCCATGTGTGGTTGCCTCTCTTGCACCCCCTACTGGGGACCTGACCCGCAACCCAGGCATGTGCTCTGAGTGGGAATCGAACCAGGGACCCTTTGGTTCGCAGGCCAGCGCTCAATCCACTGAGCCACACCAGCCAGGGCACTAAGCTTACATTTTCGAAGGCGCAGGAATAAGAGCTGGTCCTACGGTATCCCACAAGCAGGTCGGCCGCAAGAAAGAGCACTGAGTCCCTGGGGCTTCCCCTGCCACGCCAGCGGCGACCCGTGGGCTGCATTGACAGACACGCCGCCATCAGCTCGTGACAGGGACCTGGGGTGGGCACTCTCAGACGCGTCCAGGGACCCAGCCAACACGGCCAGGTGTGAAGGGCGGGGCCGCGTCAAGAAACAGGAAGGACAGCAGACCCGAGCTGCCCCGACGGCCAGGAAACCGGGCCTCTGGTGGTCGCCGGAACTGCCCGGCGGCTGCAAACATTACACCATGGCCAGGCACACGGATGTCATGCAAACCTCTCCGTTTTCAAGCGTGTCACACAGCCTGTGTGGGTGTCTGTTTATTGTGCTTTCTGGACAGTGTAACTCGGTAGGTAAACTATTTTTTTAAATTGCCTGGTGGCTCTGAGTGGACAGATGCACTCGGTGGACACCAGGCAAGACGTGGGGATGCCCTGACGTGTGATAACGGAGGAGAGGGGCACTGGCTGCCCGTAGGCAGGGGTCAGGGACGGTGCTGAAACATCCCTCAGTGCCCAGGATTCCGCTACCTCCTGCCCCCGGTGCCAGACGGTCTGGCTGCCAGAGCTCATGGTGCTGAGGTTGAGAATTGGTGGGTAAAGCACAGCAGACACTCAGTGCATCCTCCCCAATAACCGAGTCGGGCTCGAGAGCACTGTGCCCTCCAGGAAGACCAGGAGAGGCTCCTCAGCTGGGGCCTCTGATTGCGAAGCGGTTTTATCTATTTTTTTAAGATTTATTTATTTATTGTTAGAGAGGGAAGGGAGGGAGAAAGAGAGAGAGAGAAACATCCGTGTGCGGTTGCTGGGGGTTGTGGCCTGCAACCCAGGCATGTGCCCTGACTGGGAATCGAACCTGCGACACTTTGGTTCGCAGCCCATGCTCAATCCACTGAGCTACGCCAGCCAGGGCATGACTTTGTCTATTTTAGCTGCTTTCCTCCTCCTCGGGCACGGGTTTGGTGGTGTGAGTTCCCTGGTATAGTTAGCCAACAACGATCACATCAAGCCCAAAGCAGATGGGTTTCTGCGGACAACATCTGGGCCACGAGCGAGTCTAACCAGCTTCCTCCGCCTCACACGGACTGCCTCCTCCAAGCGGGTCTCGTCCCTGTTCCCCAAAACGACCCCCTCGTGCCGCTGGCCCGTCCCCCCGTTTCTCCCTCCACGGCACCTGTGCTGCCCCTGCACCCAGCTGCACAGCCGCGCACGCCATCTGCTGCCGACCTCGCTGCCCGCACAGCTCGCACCGCTTTCTCCTCGCCGCCGCCACGGCGCATCGTCCCCAGCTCGCCCCAGGAGCTGCCGCACTTTCTTCGGGGCCAGTGTGTGGGGTCCCTGCGGGACAGGGAAGCCACACTCTCTCCAGCGGACTGCAGACTCCTCGTAGGAGGGGCTGTGTCTGCTCGCCCTGTCTCGTGATCCCTCAGGGGGCGGGCGGGACTGAGCGTGGGAAGGGGAGAGCAGACCCTGAGGACCCCCCAGGGGCACGGCGGGGGGGGGAGAGCCAGTTCACAGCGCAGGAACGGAAAGGCTTGGACTCTCGCCCTAGCTGCCGTGTGTCCAGTCTACGCAACAGGGACGATCACTCAGCCTGTCAGTGGATTCGCACGGGAGCGTGCCATCGTCCATGTTAACTCGGTAAGGCACCACGGAACGGGAGGGGCAGAGAGCTGGGAGCAGGACAGATGCACAGGGAACCTGTAGAGTGACGCGCACACAGACCCTCAGAACAAACCCACGGGGCCGTGTCGAGCTAGGCACTGTTGCTCCTCCTTGTCGGGGACAGCGAGCGGCCACTCAGGGGGGGGCTGGGGACACCAAGCCAGCGGCTCCGGGCAGTCTGCAGGAGTCAGACCAGGCCGTGGTGTGGCCCCGCCAAGGGACTCATTTCCATGACAAAGCCGTGCCCCATTTCTGCCACCAGCCCGCAAGGGCTTAGGGAGGTGGTGCGCAGGAAGGGGATTGGGAAACCAAAAAGGGCTTCGCAAATCCACGAGATTACTAAACACTAGGCTCCCGGAGAGGGCTCAGCCCCAGAATCCCCAGGTGCTGCGGACTCCGGGTATTTGGGTCATCACAACCGATGCGACTGACAACTCTGCGTCCAAGCGGTGCCATTCTGCGACGGAAAGGATGCACGCAGAAGGAAATTATTCATCGTGGCTTGGCTGAGCTACCATCGGGACAAATTCCCTCACGTTCATAGTAGAACAGCACCAAGGTCACATTCCCTAAGCAGCCATCCGAATACATTCTGAAGCCAAAACGCTTCCTTCAAAATCCAAATGTTGACCTATGTCCCGTGTGCAAGGGACCGGAAGCAGAGTGGCATTCTGGGAAGAGAACAGAAACCACGCTACACCCAAGCAACCGGCAGTCCCCATATTTCGGCCTGTCGAAACAAACCTCTGCTCCGTCGACAGGTACGCATTAGCGGTTTCTGGCGTGCAAAGCCCCAAATTAGTCACCAACGTGGGGGGCGGGGGGTGGGGGGGCGAGGGATGCTTTCTGCCCACGTAGTTGATGATCTCCACGGGACAGAGGGATCTCCATAAGGGAGTCTGCGTCAATGGAGCATACAATAAGGGGGAGGAGAGAATGCCCCGTGAGGAACAAGGGGGTGGGGTGTGTTTCCGCACGGGGGCGCTGGCGAGGACGTCGGAGAACCAAGGATTCACGACTTAGCTCAGACGGGCGCTTAGAACTCGGACAGGCGTCGCACGTACATCTGGGGCCTGGGCGATACTGTAGGTGCCCGGGGCCCAGGGCAGCGCGCCGTGAGAGCAAAGGGAAAGAGAGATTGAACACGGTAAATCGCCAGGCAAGGAGACGGCCCTTGGACTTCGATGAGGAGCCACTGACCGTCTCAGAGCAGGCGCCG